GAATTCTTTCAAATTTTTTGTAATTTTTGTCGCTATTTCAAATTTTTGTAATTTTTGTCGCAATTTCAAATTTTTGAAATTTTTCTAATTTCGTCAAATGGAAGTACTGAAAAAGTACGGACTTTTTCTGTCGGAGGAGGTATTGAATTTCTCGAGATTGTGCTGAAAAAGTACTGTTAAAGTACTTATTTTTGACCAGCTTGTTTTGGTAGACACCCTGAAGAAACTTGGCAACGTCTGAAGGCTCATACGGCGTTCTTCATCAGCACGGCAGTACGAGTACTGCCCTGCTTCGGTAGCACGGCAGGATTGACCGGAGCGTTGACACGTAACTCACACTCTGAGAGTGCATTCGGACGTTCACAGAGCGATGCCATGAGAGTAAGACAAATGTCTTTCGCGAGTTGACACCTCGTTGAATTACCCAATCGAGACGATGTGATGATGATGGAATCTTCGGGCGAAAAGCTCCGGATTGCGTCACGTCGGCTCCGACACCCTTGGCCCGCCTTGGCCCGGCTCCAGAAGACGCCGTTCGCGGAATGAGGGTGACATCCCTGCTCTGTCCTTCCCGCCCGCCCGCCCGCGCGCTCCTGCAGTCGGCCCGGGCGGGAATTAAGATGACTAATTCGCGCAAATATCCTGCGAAGAAGGCGAGCCGCAGGAAACGGAAACGCACGAAACGCACAGACGCGCCGCGCCGCGTTTCGTCAAATCGCGCCGGGCATCCGCGCGCCATCACGACTCAACCAGCAATCGGCTCCGAATGCCTAATTAGCTTTTCTTTCGACCCAACGCTTCGACTCCATCCGGCCCGCCAAATTTTTTCGAAGGTCCATTGGTCCACTTGACTCACTTGAGTACCTATACAGGGAGAGTATGGACAACTCGATAATGGAGGTTAGGTTTGATCAGGTCATGTAGCTCCTAGGGCCCAAAATGGCAGCCAACCTATGAACTCGAACTAATTCAAACTCCGAGAGTAGGTACACCGATCAAAAATTATAAAAGTACGTATAAAATGTTGATTTTGCATACATTTTCTTAGTTTCAAAGTCTGAATCCTTATAAAAACCCTTTTTTTACAATGTGCTGTCAGCCCTATTGATTAATCTTTCAAATGCATGGATTGGCAGCGGCCCTTTTCTAGTAGTTTTGGTTTTTCACGCTGTCGCCCTTTTGGGCCCTAAGAGCTACTTAAATCGAGTTGTGCATACTCTCCCTATAAAGGCGAAAACGCCTCCCTAAAAAAACGCTAAGGTAAACAGCAAGGATCAAGTATTGCCGGAAAATGGAGGAGAATTTTCATACGGATAAAACCAAAAATTTCACGGTATGAAGGATCCACATTGAGTGCAAATCGACGAAGGTGCGGACATATTTTCTCGTTCACGTCTTCGGAAAATATTTCGAATTCTCAATTAATTAGTAGGAGCTCAGATTTATACAGGTTCTAACGACCACAAAAATTTTATAATTGCGACGAAACGACAAATATCATGAACAGTTATGTGGTCTGCTTTCAGTTATTTTTGTGTAGAACCGGAAATTGTTGAAATTCAATCCACGTTCATTTATATCCGTACGAACCAGCAAACTTGTTAAAATTAATGACGCTCAACGTGTGACACAGTGCGGAGGTATTCAATTAAACGCCTGACTTACTTATTTTCCTGAGAGTTTTCCCTATTTACGCTAGCGACACTTCAGTGCGATTCGTTCGGATAAGAGGTACAAAGGAGTAGAGGCAAGCATGTCGGAAATGTAACAAAATATGCCCCGTCGATGCATTAAGTGGAATAAAATTAGCTGGTTTACGGCCTAATGCTAAAACAATGCCCCAACCTTGAAGCCGTCACTTGTCTCGTCAGTTCGTCGGTTTCTGACGTAAGCGCGTATATCCATTTCCACATGAGCCTTGTTGTCCATATAACTCCATGCTTTTTACGGCTCATGTGGGAATAGAGATATGCCGTTACGTTAGAGGAGCGACGAGTTAACGCGCAGCTATTCACGATCCACCTATTGCGGTGACCAAAGCGGTGACGAATTACCGCTCAACACCCCACCACCTTCGCCATGCTTTTGTCTTCTTTATCTCCTTCTTCCTCTTCTTCTTTCTGCGTCGTATTTTCTGCTATCGTGACGTATAGGACCCGCGACTGGCGCCCAGGGTGCCCCGTGGAAAAGTTGAAAACATGTCGTCGAAAAAATTCTGGAGCGGAATTCCGCTTTGCCTAAATTTCGCTCTTCGTAGTGGTTTTTCCCCCTTTTTTTGAACACTTTAAGAAAGATCAATTGAGCAGAAGAATGATGAAGGTTGGCAATGCTGAATTCCTTCCAATAAAATCCGTAATAAATAATAATCGACTCTGGGGAAATGGAGTCAAATGGAGGAAAAAGAGGGTTGCTAACTTGCAAAATCGCCACTGCGGATAAAAGTCGGGGTGCTGTAGCTCCCCGGGCCCCCTACCCCACGGGCTTCGGTCCCCCGAGGCAGTTTTTATATAATAGATCTTCTAGGGGTCTTATGGGAGTCTAAATTAAGTGACAGATTTCGAGACGATTGGTATTTCGGGCAGTGCTTCTAGATCCTGGAACTAGTACTAAATTCCGGAACTTGTAAATTTTCCGGAATTTTCTCGGAGCTTTTGAAATTCTGGAATTTTATCGAATCTTTTGCATTTTCTGGAACTTGCTCGTAACTTTTGAAAAAATCTTGAAAAAAACCCGGAACTTTTGACGGTCATGGAGTGGGAGGAATTGGAACAAAAAAGTTCCGAATCCAGGAACTTTTGAAGAAAGTGGAATGGGAGCACTGATTTCGGGTGTCAAAGGACCCTTAAATTTTAGGATTTGGGGCATTTAATGACCAGCACCCTGAGCCCCTGAGCTTTAGAGTTTCTCACAATGGAGATGTTGCATGTGTGAGGAATTTGCAATTTGACCGTTGATTCTTATGTAAAATTTCGCGAGAAATACGATTGTGCCACTGGTTTTCTCTGAAATCAACTCCCAAGCTCAAAAAAAGCTCTCAAGTTCAGGCCAAAATGGAGGTGATATCCCACGCTATCCTGAGAGTCCACCTCTACATCAAGACAAACTCTCCATGCAAAGATAGGGAGGAAATACATTAGCAGGGTTGCCGTATTTCCAGTTTTAGAGTCCCCAAATAAAGTGGCAGCCCTGTCAATGTATTTGCTCCCTACAGTTCGTCTTGATGTAGAGGTGGACTCTAAGGATAACGTGGGATATCCCCTCCATTTTGGCCTCGTACATAAGAATCTACAGTCAAATCGCTAATTCCTCACACATGCAACATCTCCATTGGCCGTCTGAAGGCCTTGTCTCCACGGGACGTTTTCATGGGATTTGTCCCAAGTTCGAATCGCAGGAATGAAACTTCTGGGATTTTTCCCAGTTGCCGTCTCCACGGGACGGGGCTCATACAGTCCTGCGACTAGTTTGCGCGGAAAGATAAATTGGTTAAAGTCGAGTATTTAACCGGGATTAAAATAATAATTGCACTCAATTGACAATTAGACACATTATTTTAACTAACCAAACATTAACAATGTAGTAATGAATAAAATATCGCACAATTCGTTTTCACTTCTTCTTCTTCTCTCAGTGGGTTCTAGGGGTACAAGTACCATACTTGGTACTGGGAAAAATATTGATTAACTCAATTTTTCCCAACTTCGTAAGTGGGATTTTTCCCTGGGACAAATCTCGTGAAACGGCTCGTGGAGACAAGGCTTTATGGAAAAGAATTCTATTCGTCCCGGATCCCCCGACGTAGATAGTCCTTTTTCGCGTAGATGCATCCGATCTATTAGATTGACGGTTCCATCTTCCATCCCGCGACGAGCCTGCCTAGGCGGATTACTTCCTACCCGATCGGGCGCGACGGCGCGCGACGACGTATACTATATAGTTATTAGTCGCTATATTTATTTCTCAGATACGTATCACTCCGCGCTGCTCGTTCGATTCAGGGTCACCTCCTGTTAAAATTGTTTATGTCGGGCCGGAGGGGGGGGGGCTGTGCGGAGGCGTGACTTGTGAGTAGGAGCTCGCGCCGAGCCGAGATCCGGACATCGATGCCGTATTTCGCGCGGTTCTTTCCGGCAAAACTCGGATGTTGCTATTTTTTTTTCTGCGTATCAATTGGACCGCGTTAAACAGATAGAAACCAAGCCACATCAGCTATTGCCAAATTTTATTGGGCACTGTAATTTTTTACCTGAACACTGTTAAGCGGGTTTTTGTGCAAATTTCAGTGAAAATTCTCCATAATTTGAAGCAAATTCCTGAAAAATTTCAAAAGAATCCGCACAAACGCTCTGTCGTAAAAAAATTAATTGCCCACTTTATTTTGGCAATAGCTGATATGGCTTGGTTCCTTTCTGTTAAACTCGGTCCAATTGGACTTCATTTTACAATTAAGAACTATAATTTCTAGCTCATACGGAAAAACTCTTATGTGCATAGGGAACTTAATGGTACTTACGTTGTTTTTAAACTGAGCTGTAATTTATAGTTCCTAATTGCAAAATGTGGTCCATTAAACTACGCTCATTCTTTTGGCATTGGACATAACTTTGCCCCAAACCGAGGACCCAGGTTGCCAGATTCTGTGAAAAAACCTGGATATTTTAAATTGAGTTAAATGGGGATTTGTGCTGAATTTTCAGCATCATCTGGCAGCAATGCTGAGAATGAAGGGAGGGAGCGGAAAGTCTTCCCGAAGGTATGAATTTTGGGAGGGGGGGGGCATAAAAAAATGTCTTCAAATCTAACTCAATGCTCCCCGAAAAAAGTCAAAACTTGAAGGTGGAGGGAATACTCCCAATCAACTAAGCGGCACTTCTGTTGTTCCAGAGTAGCAGTATCGTCAACAAGTCAAAGAAAATATAGAGAAGGCAGACAATTTTACATAAATGTGAATTGCTCGCATTTTAAGATATCAATTAATTTTTGGTTATTGCTTGTTACAGGTGGTTCCACGGTCATCTCTCAGGGAAGGAAGCGGAGCAGCTGATATTGGACAAGGGGAAGAATGGTAGTTTTTTAGTTCGAGAATCTCAAAGCAAACCGGGTGATTATGTCCTATGTGTGAGGACAGACGACAAAGTTACGCACGTTATGATAAGATGCAAAGTAAGACTAGCTAATTATTCTCGCCTTCATATTTCACGTGAGGTTAACGAAAGCAATGACTTTTTTATGACCGAAATGTCATTCGCGCCTTTCCCATAAAGAATGGGAGAGAGACAAGAAAAGATAATGAGTTTTTCCAGCATATTTTACAAGGGTCAACGTTCAGTAAAGTACGAAGCAAAGTATGGATGGTACGCTGGACAAAAAGTCTCTTGGATCCAGAGTCCAGACTCTTAAAAAAGTTGACAAGAAAAAATACTCTTGATTCAATCGGATCTTCGATTGAATCAAAAGGAAACCCGCTTAAATTAAGAGGCTCGGCTCTCCATTCAAGCAAAGATCCGATTGAATCAAGAGTATTTTTTCTTGTCAAATGTTTTAAGAGTCATGACTTGGGGGTTCAAGATATTTTATTCCAGTGTAGTACAACAAAAACACGTATTTCATGCGCGGTTTTTCAAAAGAGAATCGGTTATTTTTTTTTAAAAAAAAAGAACAACTTAAGCGCCAGAAATTATGATACGAAAAAACAGCACAAAATGTTATAATCGATCCGTTCCAAACCTCGGAGCTCTAATATATTGTAGCGATCAATTTATTGATCTCATTATTATTAATTAATTTGCGATTTAAAATGGGTCGATGAATGTTGTCTCTTTTGTTTTTCTTGTACATCCATTCCTGGCGCTTAAGTCGTTTTGAGAACGACCAATGCAATTTTCACTTCTGCGTGATATCTCAGATTTCTGAGGGATTATTATACGATACATTTAAATGTGAATTTTTAGGGGGTATTCTTGATATCGCTGGAAATTTTTTGGAACAATTACGATACGTCATCCTCAAAAAGTACAATGCAACATAAAATCTGTAGCATCTTAAATCAAGATACTTGGTCTTCATAGCTTCATCATCATAATTTTGATCAGCAAGGGATGGACTTTTATCCCATCGAGTCTCCGTCTAATTTCTTAAAGTTTTCGTAACTTCGTCCTGTCGCCAAGTATAATTGAATCGGGACATGCGAATACAGCTGTCGTCCATTTTTCCAGTCTTCAGTTTTTTTGAGTCGATAATACTTTTCGGAGTTGCATGCAACCACGAAAGTGGCGTTAAAACTCGTCTTCAGGTTCCCTTAATCCCAAAACAAGACCTTTCATCACTTTCATGGTTGTATCAACTCGGTAAAGTATTATCAACTCAAACAAACTGAAGACTGGAAAAATGGACATCCGCGGTTTTCGCACGTTCCGATTCAATGGGCCTGTTGCATGCAAGAGATACAGCCGTACGAATATAATTTTTAGAGGTAAAATGACACGAAAATTACGATGGTCACATTAAAAAAGTCTGAAATACACTCCTTACTGCGCAATTTGTGTTGTTAGGAACGCGCTTTTTCAAATTTCCCGCGTCTAGGGGTAGTTTTCTAACAGAAACAAGTAACGGCAACTCGCGGCTATTTCCGGTCAACTAAAACTGACACATAACCTGAAAATCGGAGATCGTGATATCGTGAAATAAAATGTAGAAGGATTGCGTTGGATATTTAAAAGTTGATTAATTTAGTTACTGCGTAAAGTGTATGTGGACCACTATGAGAGATCACGTTGGGTTTGTAAACAAACTGAAGGAAAAAAGAGCAACAACAACAACGACTCGGCATCTTCCGGAAATCACCGAGCCCGCCGTTTGCTTATTTCCGGTGTTAGGAAACTGCCCCCAGACGCGGGAAATTTGAAAAAGCGCGTTCCTAACAACACAAATTGCGCAGTAAGGAGTGTATTTCAGACTTTTTTAATGTGACCATCGTAATTTTCGTGTCATTTAACCTCTAAAAAGACCTCGTGTCATTTAACCTCTATTCGCATGGCTGTATCTCTTGCATGCAACAGGCCCATTAACGTATTAATATTTGCAATACAATAAACATCTTGAGTTTCAACGAATTCGCACAGGAAGCTGTAATAAAACCTCCGTGACACTGCTCACGCCACGGTCTGAGAACCGAGCGTTGGACTTCGTTGAGGAGACTTAAACGGAAGGGTAGAAAAGTAGCGAATCCGACTTTTTGTGATCGCATGTGTGTGATAAATCTTTTCCAGATCCCGTCCATTAAAATAAATAAATGTGTAATATGCATAAACGTGTCCACCATCTCAAAACAAGTTTGATCTTAGCTTCTCCATCCAAATGTTCTAACGTTACACTGTGCAGCATGAGCTCCTTACCACCAAAGTTAAGATTTCCAAGCTTATTTTCGATCAAAATCATATTTTCCCTCTTTCATTCATAGATATGTTTTACCTCCGAGTAAAAATGTGAAAACGGCATTTGAAACAGAATTCCTCCTCTCCATGCCAAAAATTCATGTTTCTTTTTCCAAGAAATTTCAATGAATTTTCGGACCTCTCTTCGGAAATTCACGGAATTCTCCTTAACTGTTTCAACATTTTCGAGAAATTTCTTAAAATTTTGGAATGCGCATGAACTGTTCTTGCTTCCAATGCCTGAAACGTCTATGTACTCACATTTTTTTTCCTGATGCCTAATCATTATTTCATCCCACAGGATAATCGATACGACGTAGGCGGTGGTGTCAAATTCGATAGTTTATCTGAGTTAATAGAGCACTACAAACATAATCCAATGGTGGAAACCAGTGGCACTGTCGTTCATCTCAAGCAACCGTTCAATGCAACTAGGATTAATGCAAGCGGTATAGATGGCCGCGTCAAAGAATTACAGGTATTTAAAATCGTAATGCTCAACTTTTTACTTTTCTTGTTCGAGCGAAAGCCATGAACCCATAGTGACGTGGCGTGCTTCGATATAAATCGATATTTCCCCACTTGAAGGTATGGTAAAGAATCAATTATTAAAGTGTTCGTTGCAAACACCCTGATAATCGATCCTTTTCCACAGGTGTAAATGACAGGTCAATCGATATATGGCAATGCACACCACGCCACTGCATAAATCAGAAACCTAATCAAAGGTGACTTTTTGCAGTTTATTTTTCTCATATTTTCAAATTCAGAGTTCTTCTCTGAACAGGGAACATGATAAAGTTGTGATTAATTAACCTTTTCTGAACTTTATATAATATAATTATTTTGCCGGAAGAATTTTGAAAACCTTGAAATTTGACTGAGCTCAAACTGATGGCTTCAGATTACCTCTGTAATGATTGGTGCCCACAGTGAAGGAAAGGAGGTAAGAGAAAGTTTGAATTGATTAAGGGATCAATCATTTTTAACTAAACTTTTTTCCTCAAAGTAAACAATGCAAAGAAACTGACCTTATTTATTACATTTCAGCTCTACAAAATCAGGATCAACTTATCATGAGTATTAACGCAAAATTCAATTAGCTATAACTTCTAATTCATTTTTCTCAAAAGCATGAAAATATTAGTTACCTTTCTCAGGTATCAGAGGTATCAATTTTAATATTGCCTTTTCTTAGACAATCATAAATAAAATCACATGTATTAAAATATCTGTTTAAAATTCTTTTAAACATATTTTTAAGTAGGTTCTTATTGTTCCAGATTATTTCTTTGTTTTTTTTTTCAGAGTAGTTTTCCAATTTCATACATGATTGTATTTTATATCAATTTATGCATGTCTTTTTTGTTGCAGAAAGAAAATGTGCAGTTAACAGGCAAAGCAGGGTTCTGGGAGGAATTTGAATCTCTCCAGCATCAAGAAAGCAAACATTTGTTCACCCGCAAAGAGGGACAAAAACCCGAAAATAGAAACAAAAATAGATATAAGAATATTTTACCATGTAAGTACTAATCAAATTCTCAAAAGTTGACTTTTGAAGATTCATGAACTTTGCCTCATATTTTAAAAATTCCTAATGCTTTGGCTGTAGTGCTGCCCTGTATGGTATGGCACTATATATTTTAACAAAATGCTCATCAAGCCACGTGAGTTGGCAGTGGGAAGAAAGTAACTATCGGCAAAATTGACTACCTCTACTGCGTTTTCTTCTATCTAGTGCAATTGAGTCATGCTGCAGACTTTTTACTGAAGCTCTGATGGGCATATCAACTCAGGTAGGGTAGGGTTACAAGCAAGTGTCATCACGAAGCAAGCATCTTAACATCCGCAATTGTTCCTTGTTATTGCGTTTCTGGAACTAACAATTTTAGGGAAAAATGTTCTACTTTTAATTCCCCTTTGCTAACATTTTTAACAAAGTACAACTTGAAGAGGTTTGCTGTTTGCTCACAGAGCATCTTTCCAACTATTAATTGGACGTATTTATGCTAAAAGGAACTATGTTACAAGCAATCCCTATGCACATAATTCCTTTCAGTATAAATACATTCAATTAAAGGAATACAGGATGAGAATCATAGTTCCTTTTAGCATAAATACATTCCATTGAAGGAATACAGGATGAGAATGATTGATGTAAGGAGGCAGCACAAGGGACTGTTGACACTATTTTCTATTGATCAAAATAGAAGGGTCCCTCAGAGATCATCTCTGACAACACTGAGTCCTGCTTGCTCAGCAATCGCTAGGCCTTAGATGCCACAAATCGCTTCATCACTCAATAAGTCAGCAGAATGGAGACATCGTCGAAGCAAGAATCTTGCCAATTTTGACACCTGATCTTTATTTAGCCTCGGTCTATAGGTCTGGGTGGGGGACACATGCAAACTTGACTCTTTCATGTCTCTCTCTCTTCATTTCACTCTTTTCAATGCCACCATGTTTAAACTAAGGATAAACACTAATCAAAAGGTAGGAAAAATTGCCTTTCTGTTTTAAGTGGTCATGGTAGAATCAATAAAAATCACTCACAACCGCTGTCTCATACTAAAGTTAGTGACAAATTGTGCAGCAGCCAAAGCGTGATTTTTTTATGGGTATTCACCCAGAAAGGAGTAGGTAAGGGTGAATTGAGCCCAATGCCCTATAATAATTCATTTTCTCTTTCTTTTCAGTTGACCATACTAGAGTCAAACTAAAGCACGTTGATCAAAATGTTCCTGGTTCTGAATATATCAATGCTAATTATATCAAAGTAAGTAATGTTTTACAATCATCCTGTTTTTGTTTTTCTATCAATATCTCTTACTCCCTTATTAATAGATAAAATAGTTCAAATTTAGATTCACCAATCTAGAAAAGTCAAATGATCTAATGTTTGTGCATTAATTTAATAAGATGAAAATTGTCATAGACACCTATTCCTCTACATTTTTTTGTGCCTAATCAAAAGAAAAATTATCAATTTTTTTTAGCCTTCTGTCAAAGCTATCTTTTACAGTGCAGATATTTTCTCTTATAAGTCTTGGAAGGTAAAGGATGGTTGAGTTTGTGCAGTGTAGTAAAAGCACTCAAAAATCAAAACTTTGGCTTAACTTCTCAATATCCAATTATCCAAGTACAAAATTTAATTGTACTTTTTTTGCGTTGTTTCCATGTGTATCTCAAAATTCATGTTATTTTAATGATAGTAAACTCAATGGAGCCAAGGTATGGTTTTCCTTCGGCAGAGAATAATCTGGTATAAAATAAATGGAAATGAATTTTTCAGTCCTTAAGGAATGATTTTCCAATACAGTAAATTTAAACTTTGACGCACCTTTACAATTTATAAACTTGGTTTCTTTAACATTTTGCTTTCAGGATGAAGAAGGTGGCCGTAGCTACATAGCAACACAAGGGTGCTTACCAAGCACGATGGCAGACTTTTGGCAAATGGTGTGGCAGGAAAATACAGCTGTAATTGTGATGACTACCAAAGAAATGGAAAGAGGCAAAGTATGTCTTGTCAAATTAAGCTCTGAATACATATAAGGGTCTTGGAGGACAAGGCACACTCTCAGACGGTTTCTCTTTTGCTATTTTGAGAAATATGTGTTTGAAATTTTGAAATTACTTGGATCCTTATGATTGAAAGAAAGGTCAAACTGATTTTTTGATACTCAAAAATTGGAATTCGGGAATGAATTTCTCACAGAATATGCATTAAGACTAGATTTACTTGAAGTCATCAATATCTCAATTTTTTTTAAAAAACTGCACTCATGCGCCTTGTCCTCCAAGCCCCTCGATATATAAAATTACACAGGCATCCAAATTTTGGGTCAAGGCTAATTTCTGAGATAACTTGACAGACTTAATTGATTCTTTAGCCTTGAAGAATTTTCTGGACAATGGGAATTTTCTCCGAATCGGCCGGAGAGAACAATTCACTAATTATGTGATTAGCAGAGTTCATGAATGCTTTTGAATGCTTTTTGACGTCATTTTGGTTATGAGAATATTGTCTCAATATTATATTTATAAATTTAATATTAGCTCATTGAAGAATGCTTACTTAAAATTTTGTCTCTTCTTTCAGAGTAAATGTGCAAGATATTGGCCAGACGAAGGAAGGTCTAAAGAATATGGAAAAATTGCTGTGAAACACATATCTCAATCATCTACCATTGATTATACGCTTCGAGAATTTTTAGTTAGTTTTGAGCAAGAAGATAGAAAAGTTTACCATTACCATTTTCAGGTCAGTAATCAAATCAAATTTTCAATTCAGCTGCCTTTTTGCTTGTAACTTCCTTTATTCATCAAATAAATGAGGAGTCCACTTCTCTCTGACTTTTGCCTGTACTTACAGCTGAAGTCTCACTTTTGTAAGATTGTTTTATGAAGAAAATTAACAACTTTGCTGTAGGTAATTCATAGGGAAAGTCAGGGAATTTTGCAAGCAGTGTTCAGCAAAAGTGAAGTGAAGTTTCATTTATATGTCACGGAAAGTCAAAGAATTAGAAAATTTTGGAGTCAGTGAATAGCAAAAATAGTTAGGGGTGATCTAAAAATAAAAAAATGAAGAAATTATGAAACCCCTGAATTAAGGATGCCAAGGCAAAGAAAAATGTTTTTGCAGGGAGCACTACTAGTAGGCAGTTTGACTGAAGGACCCATGGTCAAAGTCCGCAATACACATTCAAATTTTGTAACAAGGATTTAAAGTATACTGAAGGAAGGCATAAACTAATCAAAAACAAACAAAAAAACTGGTGATAAACTGAAAATTGCACTAACAGAAAGATAACTTGATATTGAGAAACGACCTGACGATACTAGATGCGCTCATAACAACAGATTTCTGCATAGTGTGGAGCAGGTTCTTTTTGTTTTCTGTGAGCAGATGATTATTTAAGTTTTAGTTGTTCACTAGTTTCTTTGAAGCTGCTCAGCATCTAGTTTCATGAAAAATGTTCTTACGAAACTAATATCATTCCCTTCTGAATAACAGGCTTGGCCAGACCATGGAGTGCCATCTGATCCAGGCTGCGTTCTCAATTTCCTCCACGATGTAAACGCTCGGCAAGATTCTCTGATGGGAGCAGGACCAATAATAGTCCACTGTAGTGCCGGGATAGGCAGAACTGGAACTTTCATTGTGATTGATATGATTCTAGATCAAATAAAGCGTCAAGGTTGGTACTTATTCAATGTTTGGAACATAATGAACAGTCTTTATGTAAATTTGAATTTTTTTTAGAATTTTCAATTACAGGAATATCTTTGAATCTGGGAAATCATTTAAATGTTTTTTAAATTCCTCACATTTTGTATAATCTTATGCATTTGCTTACTACAGGTAAATCAACCTTCTTTTCCTTCCTTCGTAATTGAGACATCTGAATGAATAAAAAACAAGTTTGTGAGCCATAAATTCATTTTGCACACCTAGCATTGGTTATAGGCACAGGAAAAGGAAATCCCCCTTCTGAGACATTCCTCAAGGCCTCTAAAACTATTATGAAGCCAAAAAAAGAAGAAAAGGGAGTGTCCTCAAAAATCCTCAAAATTGTCAGTTTTGAAATCCCCCAAAAATCCTTTAGTTTCTTTATTATGTATAGCCCTGTGATTTAGGTCTTAAGTAGTCTTAGATTTTTGTTGTAGATTGAAAAGCAGACTTAAACTGTCTCATGTCTCTTTAAATTTTACATGCTCTTGTCTCTTTATCTGTGTCTTAAGAGTATTCAGTTAATCTTAGGAAGTCTGGAAATGGAGTTGTTGAGAACTTTATTAGTCGCAGTGTGGCAGTATAAGCATTAATCTGTAATTCAGTCTCTATCTTCAATATGTCACTTAAGAACACATACACCTATTGTTTTTGCATTTATTGCTGATTGATGTTAAAATGAATATTAAATAATCAACTCATGTGCAATAATTTGAGCCTTCCCTTAATGGTTTCTCCACTAGTTACGCTAATTTTTCTCTGTGTCGTAGGACTTAAATGAAGGGCAGGTAACGATTGGATCAAGTTTTAAATTCCATCCCAATGAAGTCTACCTTTAATTCTTTGCTGGCTCTTACTCATTCGATTTATTTTTTATTTTTTGTCCAAACAGGCCTAGATAGTGAAATAGATATCCAACGTACCATTCAAATGGTCAGATCTCAACGATCTGGAATGGTGCAAACAGAAGCGCAGTATAAATTTGTTTACTTGGCTGTCCAACAGTACATCCAAACAGTTTCTCAGCGCATGCTTGCACTCCAGGTATGCTTATTACGCTTTAGTTCTCTATCTGTTAAAATTGAAAATTTACTTACTTAGGAATGCCAAACATATTTTTAACATTTGAACCAAAACAGATCAGAGGGGAAACATCCCTGAATCAAAAGGTACAAGATTGCTAGTGACCAAAAAAAGCAGGAAACATGAGTGAAGAGAGAACCTCAGAGATGCAAAGAATTTTTGCACTGCATTATTGGTTGACAAAACAGTAAATTTTTGGCTGTCTTGATGGTTTAAATACTTACTGAAGTCTGTCTTTTCCATTCTCAATAAAAGATAAAGAATACTATGAAAAAAGGTTGGGAATTTAGAATTTGGATCATGTTGTGAACCCTTTTACTTACTTAAACAATGCAGCACAGCATGCAGAATGAATTTTACTATTGAAAATTGAAACATTCAGTCTGTAATTATGACCCTAGCACCAATAACTCAAAATTCAGGCATTGGGTTTACTGTTTCGAGGGGTGCTTCACTAATTGTCTTGCAGGAAAAATGTCCTAAAATTTCAATTTGAACATACGTTGTGATATTATGAAGTTCGCAGTTCAAAAATATGGTGTTCAGAAAAAGCCATTCAAAGTTTTAATCTGTTTCGTTTAGAACTTAGAATGGTAGAAATTTTGCACCCTCTATCAGTGCAAAAATGAACCACTACTTAATCTTTCATTTATAAGAGAACTATTCCAAGTTGGTGCTTTCTTGCTTAACTTAGTCCAACTCTACCGAATACTTTTTTTTTCATTAACGCTTATTTGTGATTGTGAACTTCTTGAGTTTTTCTGCTCATGTTTTGTCAATTTTGATCTTTCAATTTTGCAGAAGAGCATGCAGTTAGGGCGAGAGTACACGAATATTCGGTACTCAACAGAAACAACTCCTCCAATCAGTGTAACTGATACCATTGCTCGCTCTATTTCAACATCGGGTTTTCCTCTCTCACCATCACGCTCAACCACATCTTTGCACACACCAATCCACAATAGTAAATTATCACCAGGAAAATCCTCACTAGATGCGCATTTACCTAGGTATGATTTCTTTTTTTTGCATCTGAAGACTTTCATGAGAAAGAAGTGAAGTAACATTCTTGAGAAAATTAATATATTTGGGAAAGTTTTTAGTTTTTTACATATCTCCATGGTTCATGCAAGCACTTTGGAATGTTGGAGTTTTTTCTTAAGCACTTGAAAATAGTCAAATCCTGAGTAATTGAAAAAATATTCTCTTTATTTGATAACTCTGTATTGAAAGACAACATTCCTCCAAAGAACAACAAATGAACAAACTAATATGACATGCTTAAGTTCTGTAACTTACCTAGATAGCATACACAATTTGCTGTGATGTTAATAAGTGTTGTTCATTGTTTTTTGATAGTACATATCGACGGTGAAACTACCAAACCACGTATCTCGTTTGCGGTGTTTAAAAATCTACGCTCACATTTTATTTTTTTTGAAGTAGACCAAATCAATATCATTCCTTGAAATTTTCACGGAATTTTCTCTGCACAAAGAGGAAAAATCACAGAAATTTTCAAGACTGGATGTTAAGTAGTTTTTCATTTAAAAAATAAAGTATGACAGGAAGTCTGCGACGTCGCAAACCGAGATACGTGGTTTGGTATTTTCACCGTCGATATGCAACAAGAGTAATAATAATCTTTCAAAATAAGGAAATGAGACACAAAATTTTGCATAAAAATGTAGTCAAAAACACCTAAATAAAAGGAAAAACCTTCGTGCACGACTAGTCATACTCGAGAATATGCATGAGTACGTACTTAAGCCTGCATGAACCCACATCTGCACAGCATATCGATAACCAATTTTTTTCTTTTTTTCAGGCCACCAGAAGATATTCCAAAGCAGATCTATGAGAATATCCCTCTAAAGGAAAACGTAGTATCAACAAATTCGTACAACATCGGGCCACCTCCGCCTGTTTTTGCACCCCCTCCTCCTCCTCCTCGAAAAATATAACGCTTAATTTTGCTGAACAGCATTTTTATAACTGTTAGCCAGTAGAAGTGCGCAGGGGTTCTCCTGCGTCTGGTTTTCACGCACCATTTGCTCTGTGATTTATAGTCATTATGTAACTAAAAGCACTTGGAGCTTGGAAAATTTCTCCCCTTTCAATTTAAATTCATAGTAGATTCCTCGTAAATCTATGTAAGCATTGCCAATGGCTCTCAGGTTATTATCATCCTTATTTTATGAAGCAAAAATGAATATTTTAGAATCTCTTGACTCCTGCTGAAACAAACAAACAAATTTTTTTTGAGAGAATTGCAAGACTAGCAACTTTCTAAGTTAATCTCAAGACTGCTAGATTTAATTTTTGTATTTTGATTTGCAGTCAGCAAATTAAGTAATATCAAAATCAGGCATTGAATAATGGCATTTTTATATGAACTGTACATTTGAAGCAATTTTTTTTTGGATTAAAAAACAATTCCAATAATTTTTTTTTTTTTTTTTTTTTTTTTTTTTTTTTTTTATCCTAATTTCTTGTAGTTAAAAGCCAACTACATCCATATCCTTAAATATCATACTTATCATAAAAAAGCTGGTTTAAATATATTTTCTGTTTGAAAATGCAAGAATAATATTCACTCAGTGTTTCAAGATTTTAAGAAATTAAATCTGATAAACCACCACCTGAAAACATAGAAAATGCTTCAGCAACTAGTCCTAACAAATCCTATAAATTATCTCTTTCAAGTCGTAAAACCAAGGAAGGTTTTCAAAAAATTAACACATTTTTTTAGGACTAATTGCAAAATGAGGAGGACTAAGCCGGAAATTTTCCAAGCTCTGCTAATTACTGGAATATGACATGCTCAGTTTCCAAGTGGACCATCGTAACCTAGGGATTAGGGTTTCCTGTAAACACTATGTACCACAACATAATAGGGTGTTCCTTGAATTATGGATGTGTATCTGCATGTTCAATTCTCTGTCAGAGTTTCCTGTTGAAGGAGATTGCAATCCAGAATGAGAGAGTTCCCGTTCCAATCTCACAATCAACTGTACGTAACTTCCCTGAAGTATGAGAAAACACTAAGGAGAAAAAATGCAGTATGAAAAAATTAATCTGGCAATTTTAAACATCAGCTTTTTTTTTCAGAAAAACATCCTAAAGTTAGAAAAGAATTTGTGCTGAAAGAACATTCTTGGATCCGTTCATTAATACACGCAAATTGAGTACCTTTAGCAAAATAATTTTTATGATGAAGAAAAACTGTTCATATGAAGCAGTTAAGTGGTTGCTATTTTAATTTTCCTTGCTCACACACATACCATTTTTTCAAGAGAGCCATTTTTTAATTTCTGCTGAATCATGTCTCAGCATTTTCCTGTAATTTACGTATCTGTTTCATCAGCTGATGTTGATCCAATTCGAAACTGAGCATCTCATGAATTTTAATTTAAGAAAAATAATAGTTGTTATTTTTACCTTTTGAATTTTTAGTCGTTTTTATTTTAATTTTATATTTTATTTAGCTGCCAGCCACAAGAAAATTGGCCTCCTAATTTGTACAGGAGAGACTCCCCTGTATAACCTGGCGGCTGTGATCGTATGTTTATTTACTACTGTGGTTGGGAACTTTCGTTTTGCCAACGACATTGTATTTATGTGCCCCTTTTTGAATGGAAGATAAAAAGAACTTACCATTTTATCGAAATTTCTCCTTTTAAAACGATCCTTGTCATGAAACTTACACAGCAGAACACAGCAGGAAGGAATTTTAGATGAAGCGCTCCATCTGATGTTTTGCTTTTCTCACTTGTCTGTAGATGGTTGGAATGTACTGATCTTAAAATTTTATTTAAATCTATTCTTAAGCATAAATGAGGAGCGTCACCTTCCTAATAGGCGCTCTTTTAGTGTATCTTTGATAAGATTTACCCGAAAGAGAAAAAAATTTGAACTCCCTGATGACTCTATAGCAAACTCTCTTGTTCATCCCTCAATTTAAATTATTTACCATGAAAATAAAATTTCTAGATTCAAAATTTTGTTGTTTGCAGTCAGTTGCACGATAAGTTGACATTAAGAATCTGGTATGATCAAATTTATAGTGAGTTCAAAAATTTCTTTCAATCTTTGCCAATGGAATTGAGTAAATTTTTGGTCTCGAATTATTCTTTCATAATTTGTTGAAAATCTGCGTCACATGAATAAATATACAACCTTTGATGCAATTAAAAAAACAAGGATGAACCTGGTTTCTGACATTATTTATTTTATTGTGTTTTCTTGATTGAGGAGTGCTCTTTACCGCAGTTTTTGTCTGCATGCTAATTAGCTCAGTAAAATTAAGCAGATATTGAGTTCAAATTTTAATTTTTTGTCATGTCCTAATTTTAAGTTTCCTTATAATTAATTCAATTTTTATTTTTCGATGGGACTTCTACTTTCAGAGCTTGATCATCGATTGATATGTAAATGGTAAAGGCAGAAGAAGCTACTCCATTTGCACTCCTCAACCAAGTGAAGCTTATACACTAAAACTAAAAGACCAAGTTTTTTTTGTCATTCGATGTAAAACTAATGATGCATCCCAAGTGTAAGCTTTTGGATAGTGAAATTGCAGGAATACGTATCTTGCTTGCTGAGTTTCAAAATCTTCGCTCCCATTTACAATTATCAAAGGAGAACAAACCTACCTTATTGCTTGAAATTTTCAATCAATATGCTTCACATGGAGAAGAAAAATTAGGGAGGTTTTAAAAAATGACAACGAGTATTTTTCTCTTTAAAAAACAGTGTCACAGGAAGTCTGCAACGTTGCGAAATGAGGTATGCATACCTGCAGTTTCACCATCGATTTTCATTTTAGTTTTTTTTTTTTTTTCCAGATTAGTTTCGAAGTTCATCTTTTCAATTACCTAATTTTTTTAAGAAGTTTGTCACTTCGTCCTAAATTTAATTTGTATGAATCAGTCAACTTCAACTTATTTTTGCATGAATATTTTTGTCTCATAAAAGCGAGGCTAATGTTGATATTCATTTTTCCTTTACCCTGTATCAATTTTAGAAAATTGGAACAATTTTTCATAGCCCGTTAATTGTTCAAGTAAACATGAGCAGATATTTTGGTAACTAGTTCATTGTATCAACATACTTTTGTCATATTCAACTTTTGATCCTAGACTTTTTCTGCAATGAAAAGTTTAATTATTTGAATGGTGTTAGAACTTATCATTGTTGGTTTTAAAAAAGGAAACACAAAAATTGTTAAATATGAGTTATTTTGCTCCCAGTTGAGCTCAAAGAAAAAATGCAGAAGTAAATGACTTTGTAGCAAGGTTTTTTTATCATTTAACAGCAAAATACCTGTAATTTTTACTTGTAAGAAAAAATATACATACTCTCAGTGTACCCTGCAATTTTCATAATACTTTTCAAAGATTTTTGCCTCAAATTGTTTCTGAAGTACCTATCAAATTTCATAAATTGTTGACAAATTTATTCTGTGACCATTCTATCCAATTATCATCGTAGCATGTCACGTTTTATCGAATAGTATTACATTGTAGCACATACGGCATATGTTAAGTGCTTTGTAATTTATATTTAGTAATTTCTATGCCACCAAAAGCACAGCGTGTTTTTTCTCTTTTTTTATAATAAAGTGTTTGTTTATTTTCATTTTCATTTCTATTTTTTTCATTCTGCCAGGAGTTGCTCTTTAAGAACACTTTTCATTGCCCCACAAAAAAAAAAAAAACCTCTCTCACTCAAAAGCCACTCAAGTTCTCACTTTAATCTACTTTGAATGTTAGAGTCGAAAATCTGTGTTTGCAAATTTTTTTATTAAGGTGATTCGTCAAGCTCAAGTGACATGGTCGAACTGGCATGCAATATATCACATCTTTTAGGTAAAAAATCTCGGCAGATTTTGAATTTTCAGCAAAAAAAAGGACGATAGCCCCTGCGTATGAGCCTGAAGAATCATCCTAAACCCAAAAATCGGCAAAATCCAGAGAAATGAAAGCAGGATAGTGTTTGGAAAAAAACCTAGCATTCGATACCGAAATCGATAGCTGAATCGAATGCGAGGTTTTTTTCCAAACACTATCCTGCTTTCATTTCTCTGAATTTTGCCGATTTTTGGGTTTAGAGTGATTCTTTAGGCTCATGCGCAGGGGCTATCGTCCTTGTTTTTACTGAAAATTCAAAATCTGCCGAGATTTTTGACCTAAAAGATGCGATATATCGCATGCCAGTTCGACCTCTTCTTTTGAGCTTGACGAATCACCTCAACATCTTTTCAAATAGAGGTCAGGAGGACTTCTTCGGTAAAAGAGCGTTATGAGGCTTGCTACGCTGGTAAGATTTACAATGGCATAAAGTGAAATTCATTCGCAGTCCAGAAACTTCCTCTGAAAAGTGTAAAAACATTCGGAGTAGATCCATGGTCCAACTCATGGTAGGCTTTTGGATGGACTGTTTGTGATGAAAAAAATTACATTGCAGAATGTTAGCAGTATTGGAACCCTCTCGCCCTTTTACCGAAGTCGTTTTCTGAAGCATGAATGAATGAATGATAGGTGTTATCGGAACTTCATATGCAACAAGGTTTTAGTTTTCATGAAATATTGCAACCCTGTTCGTGGCAAAGTTTCTAGCTTTGCCGATCCAGAGTGCTGATTGGCTACTAGACGCGTGCGCGTCACGCAGCAGCGCGATTCATTCATGTTTGTGCTTGATTTGCGCATCCGCATCCGCTCCTCTACTCCCCTCTCCCCAGTTTTGCTCTGGTCCTTTCTTCAGTTTCCTCGCCGGCAGCCATTTTCCCTTTCACTTGTCGCGCGATCTTCAGCCCTTCCGGCACGTTTCACGTTTCTGGCACCATGCCGCCGGCTTCGGTATATTAAAATCGCCCATCGTTACCCGTTTTCTTGAGGTTTTAGCTGAAGATACGACTTTTTAAGTCTCGCGTACGAACTTTCGGAGTGCGATTTAGTGTACTTTCAGGATATTGTGTCGCGTTTTCGTGTGATTGAACAGTCGTAATGAGCGTCTTTACCGCGTGTTCCCGCGTAAATCGTGCCTTAGGCCTTGGGTATATCGGACTCGTGCTGTCGGAATTTGATGCCAATTTTAGAGTTTCGCATGAATTCTCGCCGTGATATTAGTGTCTAGTGAGTAATACAGTCAGTGCAGCAACGGTTCGTGAGTTACAATTGTGGCGATTCGCTGACTCTATCGAGTGTTTTCAGACTTCAATCATGGTAGCTACCAGCGTGTTTGAGGACTTGGCCTGCTTTCAACTTTCTCTCTAAGATCTCTGGTCTGGTTGATTCGGGAATCAAGGTTTGAGATACTGTACCTACTTCTGATTTAAATTCTGCCCATGTATGAATTCACTATTTCATTACATATGTCCAATTCGAGAAATGGCACACTTC